TGCTGAACACCTCTTGAAATCACAGTCTCCTCAGCCAAAACATGTGTCTAAGTGCTGAAACTCTGCTCTGTTTGCCCCAGAAAATTATCATCTTTCACGTCAAGCAGGCAGTACTTTTCTTTATACCTATATTTCTGCTCACAAACAGATACTAATTATTCTCCTACTGTCTAGTTTAGGCTGGCAGACCATGCAGCCCTTCACACCTTCCTGTCTCTGAGCAGGGCAATCAGTCATGGCTGATTCCCAGCGACACCACCAGTGGCTCATGATTCATCAGCCCAGGGACTCTTAAAATGCTTTCCTGATATGAGCTGCATCTCAAAGAGACATTCGATTATATCCAGGTGAAGATCTCCTGTTCTGCTTGCTTCGTGCTGTGCAGATCTTCTTTTGATTTTAGCAGCTGTTAGTAGGTAGAAGAGTCACCAGCAGACAACAACCAACTCTCCGGAGACAGCTGGTGGTCCACAGATCAATTCAGCTATGACTGGTCTGTTCCCTGAATCCACAGGGAGACAGCAAGGTCAGCCACACCATTTTTGTCCAATCTTCCTGCTGTTGAAGGCCACTTAACTGCAGATGTTAGCATGGCTCAGTGGATCTACATATGACATACATCTACTTCATTTGGGGGCACTGACAGATCATCCTTCCTATACTCCCTGGGGCTCTTGTCCTACCTACTTCTGATGACACTCCAAGCCAGAGGGTGGTGTGCATGTGCACAAGCTGAAAGGTAGATGAGATGCACAGTCTGTGAGTTGGGTGCTCAAGATCTACCTCCATTGCCACTTGTTTTGTAGCCCTGTTAAGTCCTACAATGTTAATGAACCAAAGGCTGATCCTCTGGACATGTACTTGAGACTTTACCTCTCCTCTTCCTCCAGTTGGGGATTATTCATAGCCAACATCTGAATTCTCTGCAGGCTCTCCTCACTGATGCTGGTTACCCCCTGGGTGGGCATACAGTCCAGGTACAGCTGGTACCGGATCAGCGCCTCCGCCTTCCTGCGCAGGTTGTTGGCAGAAACCACCCGCCGTGCAAACACCCGGGGATCCTCGGCCAGAAAGAACAGGCGAACGCGGGGCACCCAGTACTGACGTGACAACAAAGGGGCTCTTCCTGGGAAAGGAAAGTGAAGCTTACAGGAGTCTGCAGGGAACACAAAACTCAGAATGGCTTACGATGCTGGCAGCAGCTTTTTGGTGGAGAGTATAATTAGGTGGGTTCGCTGGAGATCCAAATGAGGGACCAAAGCTGAGGACTGCAAGACAGAAGGAGCATGGATCTAGCAGCATCTCCAAACCCATCACAAGGGGGCTATTTCATTTTTATCTGTCAACATACCCCCTCAAAATGGCATTGGCCTAAAAGACCATTATTTAACTTGTCTTGAAAGCAGGAAAGGTGGAAGACAGAGAAAAGAAAGGTATCTCCAAAGGGAAGGCCTCAAACAGATTGTCAAATTAAGGTGTGGAGTTCTCTTGCCTGGAGGTTTTTCAGGACAGGTTAAACAGACACATGTCAAGAGTGGTAACAGGGAGAAGAATTAAATTACTTCTTGATGTCTTTCCCATCTCTACACAGGACCAGGGTAAATGAACTGGCTCTCAGAGTATATGCAAGGTCCTAAAAGGCCTTACTTAAAACATACCTTCTGGAGTTACTCCTCCATTGAGAATGGGTCTCCCTTCTTCATCCCGCACATGCCCATTCTTATCCGTTTTATGGACCAAGTAGAGCTCTGTGTTCTTGTCATAATCCAAAACACCAACATCAATCCACTCGTAGAATAAATTATGGCTTTTGGGGTCCTCTGAGAAAATCAAGGATTAAAACAGGCTTAGTCTATTCTCCTGGAGGCTACAGCTCATGGACTTCCCTGATTAGAGCGGTGAGGCTACAGTCAAATTAATTTACTAGTTTGAATCTTGGTCAGTCTCCCATAATTTCTGCCAAGATCAACTAAATAATGAATTTAGGTTTTACAATTTAGCATCTCCAACTGTTTGCACAGACCTTCATTTTCCTCCTCTTACCTCTGTGGGTTCCCTGTGGACAATTCTCCTGTTTCAGGCACACTGACTCATTCTTTGCAGCCATAGTCTCATATTTGGGTCCCCTGCACCCACTTTTTCTGGGGAGCCCTCTGCCTCCTGGTTCCTTCACCCCTCGATCCAGGACCCCTCATTGCCCAGATGGGCTCCATAGGTATCTCATTCTCCTTTCCCATGAGTTACTCTAGCCCTGTGTCACCCTCCACACCAGTCTTCACTGGAAAGAGGCATCCCTCAATCTGTTCTGAGTCATTCCCAGGGCATATAATTCTTAAATGGTTGAATCCTCTTAAATGCTGGGAGGTGCTAATCAGACAGATGCATCTCTATATACCTGGAGTACTGTGTACAGCTCTGGAGCCCTCAGCATAAGAAAGATATAGACCTGTTTGAGAAGGGCCATGAAGGTGATCAGAGGGTCAGAGCACCTCTGCTGCAAAGACAGGCTGAGAGAGTTAGGGCTGTTCAGCCTGCAGAAGGGAAGGCTCCAGGGAGACCTTAGAGCACCTTCCAGTGCCTGATGGGGCTATAGGAAAGCTGGGGAGGGACTTTTTACCAGAGAGGGCAGTGACAGGACAAGGGGTAATGGTTTTAAACTGAAAGAGAGCAGATTTATATTAGACATTGGGAAGAAATTCTTCACCACCAGGGTAGCAAGGTCTGGAATAGGTTGCCTAGGGAGGTTGTGGAAGCCCTCTCCCTGGAGGTGTTCAAGGCCAGATTGGACGAGGCTTGTGCAGCCTGGTCTAGTGGGAGGTGTCCTGCTCAGAGCAGGGAGGTTGGAACCTGATGATCTTTAAGGTCCCTTCCAACCGTAATCATTCTATGATTCTATGATATTGATATCATAGAATCCATATAGATACAGGTCAGCTCAGTGTTTCACTGAAGCTGAGAATGGATGCTGTTAACCATGGGGCTGAGCCATAGGAATTTGTAACAGTGTATGGATGCACTGTATGGATGTCAGTGGTCTCATCCCCACACAGGGCCCAGCAGGTCCAACTACCTGGTGCACAGAACAGTCCATTCAGCTGGGGCAGTGAGCAGGTGTGGTGTTCCCCAAGTCAGCTGCAAGCAGAACTCAGCCATCATGTGCTGGCTGCCCAAGAATCCCCACAGCTGATGTTTTATGCTTAGGCTTTGCAGACAGCCAAGCTTCTGGAGAGCTGCCCCAGAGCTGCAGTCAGTATGCATGCCAGTTCCTATGCTTTAAAGCTAAGGCAGGCTGCAGCCACAACTGGACACCAGTACAGCTGTACTTAGTGATGCTTTCTCATTGAGAAGTGACAGGAAAACAACACAAGTCCACATCACTTACTTTGCCCCAGATTGACTACTTGAATTTTCACTGCAGTCTGAATTTGGATTTTGATCCTGCACTCACAGTGACATCCAGCAGAATTTACTCTGTTCAAGCTAACTAACTCACTCATTGATGATACCTACACATCAATAAAGCAAAATTTTGACTGCACTGATTTCCAGGCCAAAGAAAGAGGGCCAAAGGCAGAGGCTACTTTTAAAAGTGGAAACAGTCAGTCCAGGGCAGGACTGACAGCTGTTGGTCTCTTGCTCTGTCTGCCTGAGCCTGATCAGAATGAGTTGTTGCTTTTATGCTACTCAGAACTGCATTCATCAGAATCTACATGATCTGTTCTGCTGAATGGGCATGTAATTGTTAAGGCTGCCTCACTTGAGCAGTAACTCATTCAAGCTTTACCATGTCCCAGCACATCATCTGTAGGCAAGAGTGCTCTTCCAGGCACTGGCTTTCTATCATGAGATCCTGGCTCCAGTCCCAGTGAGATCCAGTCTTCTGGAGTTCGACAGTCATAGTCGTAATCATCAAATATCTAAAAAGCCAGGACAGGAGTGAAATTAAGTCTTTCTTCAGAGAGAAGAAAACACCTGATACAAAATTTAATGGAAGAAAAATTAACGTGCAGTTCACTTCCTAAATGCGCTCCGAAACAAAAAACAGTCCAGATGCAAAAGCTGTGCTGATCTTTGATAAACAATCTTCTCCCAGACAGCAATATCTGTACCTCTAGCCCTTTCCTTTCCTAGAGAGCAGAGACACTACCTGGAGAGGTCTCATGCAAAAATACTACTGACTGCTGCATCTGGAAGAAAACATGAGACAACACCTTTTCTTTGGACAGAAAAATGACAAGTGAGGAGCACCCTCTAGGACTCTTAGTTTTGGTGGAAGCTGTGGGCATCCTGCAGAAGATGCTCAGCATCTTGTAGAGATTAATCAGGGCCCAAACCTGCTCTGTAGCATTTCCTTTTTATTGCTTGCTGTATCCATGATGGCTGTCCTGCAATTGTCAGAAACATGCTGTGGTATAAGCAATGAGATCGAGATCACAAGTGCCCAACAAGCTCTCTTACCTCTAATGGGAGATAGATGGGAAAGAAGGGACCTGCCTCAGCAGTTGGTGTATTGTGAGGATCATGGTGCCTTGACATCAGCTCATTGGAGTCTATTCCCTCTCTGGCTAAGAGCTCAGCAACATCAAAGGTGAGATACAGCCTTCTTGTCCTGGTTTGGATCAGAGTGGGAGAAAACCATTTAGTGTGCCTAGAAGGGCTCCCGTGCCTGTAACTCCACTTTTTGGATCATGCACTCCATCAGTAAAAAAGTTTTTGAGCACACACTGCAAACTTGTGTATTTCTTAATTTACAGAACAGTTCAATTGGAAGGGACCCATAATGATCATCCAGTCCAATTTATAGATCATATACATGTACTAGTATATTATGGACATTATAAAGCATATTAAAAAAAAAAAAAGAAAAAAATTAAATCAATATTATTTTTTAAAAGATTTTTGACAAGTCATCTCTTGAAAGCAAAAATCAACACCCTAATCTGCTGTGATCACTCCATTATGTCTCCAAGCACTTCCTGGTTACTTACCTCTCCACATGGATTGCCCGAGGGCACTGCCCTGGAAGCCTTTGGAAGGCAATCTGCACTTTGGGCTTAAATGACTGTATTGGGAAATCAGATACAGTGAGGTTCTCAGTGCTTGGTCCAATCACTTGCTTATCCAGGATATTCCCAAAGCCCTCAGGTATCTTCAAGGTTGTCACTAAGAGACAGAGAGAAACATGTTTGAAAGCACCAGACATCACTCTGCTTTACATTCACATAAACAGGAGGACTGTGCTGTGTCCTGGGTTGTCTGCAGAAGTCAACTCACTAGATTAGTGAGATCAAGCAGACATGAAACAGGAAACTGAAAGGAACACCTTTTTTTCCCCTCACTGCAATATGTCATCATGGTTTTTCAGTATCAAAATGAGGCACAGAAGAAGCCTCCACTGAGAAATACTGTCAGGCATCTTAGAACCAGGTCAGTGCCCTGCCTGATAAGGAGCTCTGTTCTGTTCCCATCTTTGCTACAGAATCTTTACACGAACATGGGCAAGTTCTTGTCACTGATGAGACTTCTAGGCTTCCCTCACTCTCGGGAAGGGGTGGGATTCCCCTGCCTCCCTGGGGTGCCCTGACACCAAGAGTCAGATGTAGCTTGGGAAGAACTCAGTCAAGACAGTGATAGAAGGCTTATGAACACTCAGGTCATCTTCATGTGCTGACGTTCCTATTCACACCTTAGGTGGGACAAACCTCTCCCCAGTTTTTGCTCAAGCAAACCACCCACTCACATCAGCAGTGGTGTGAGAAAAATGGAGTTAAACAGTGACCGATCTCATCATTTAGCCAAAAGTTTTCAAGGGAAATTTGGATGAAACAATAAGTATATTTTTCAGCCAGTTCTTGGAAATGTAAACTGTTTATATTGCTAAACAAGTCACAAATAATAGAACAGAAATGAACTGGGAATTTGGAGCTTATCCTAAATTAAGTAATTGTGTGGAAGCTTTAAAAAGCATTATTCCCTAGACAGAGCCAAGCATTGAGCTAAAAATGGATTTTAGTAGAGTGAGAGCTTTTCATTTTACGAACTTTCACACTCTACTAGGAAGAAATTTAAGCTTCTGGCTCATAAGTGGGTATTTTGGATGTCAGGCTTTGAACCCAATCCTTCACCCTGCTCCATGTGCATCATTTGGACCCAATCCTTCACCCTGCTTCATCTTGAATCATGGATGCAACCCCTTGATTTCAAAGAAATTGTGCAGAGCAGCCAGTAATGCTGAAGCCAGACACATTTCAGGATGATCAGGTACAGAAAGGGTCCTCTAGGAGGTCATTCCCTTTCCTTTCTTAAATGACCCCTGACATAACCCCCATAGCTATACATTATCTGCTTAGACACTACAGGAAAAAGTCACTGAACTGGCTCCTCTCTCTCAATCTCCCCCCCCCCACCCCTTAGGAAGGACTCCTAGTCTGGATAAACATGATCATAAACATTTCCATTGTCCATACCAACATGCATGTTTACAATAACTACAAGCAATCCCTAAGATGCAGAGGGTTGGCTACAGGACCTTTAGCCTCATGCCTCTCTCTTGCTTGGGGTCTTTACAGAGTGGCCCTGATTTGTGTCTGTTGTCAGGGAGCACAGCTGTTCCAATTTTGTTACTTCATTGTTGCAAAATCCATGACACCATCCATCATGGCACTTTGTGCACTATCAACTATTTATGTCAATACTTAGTGTTTCATTTGCATTTACATTTCCAGCTTTATAGCTTCTTCCCCCTTGAAGAACCAGCAGATCATAAATAGAGATCTGTCTCCACTTGTTAGGGATGAGTCTAGCTTGTCAAGATTCACTTGAGGATGCAGTCATTTGTCCTCACTCATGAAAATAAATGTCACTTCTAAGCACAGGAAGGTGGTATATATAGTTACCATCTTTCTCTAAGATTAAAATCTTCTCACACACACGTTCTCTCCACCCGCTGCCAGCCTGTGATCGCTATCCCCAGGAGTGCTCCAGGGGCCAGGAGAGTGCTGCCAATCTTTCAGCCATGTTCTGTTCCTATATTTGAGCATCCTTGATACAAGCAGCTCTTGTAAGCAGGTGGGACCAGCAGCTCTGTATGCACAAAGACCCCTTGCATCTAGGGGGAACAAGTCACTGTGGGGCACAGCTGGACCCAGAATGAATAAATGAGGGAGGAGCATGATTTTGGCTATGGGTATCCAGATCTTGAGTACAGCTCTCGTGGGCAGGTGTCATTTTCACAGGAAGGGGCATTGCTGGCTCCAAACAAAATGATAACATATGCAGATTTAGTGCTCTCACGACATATGGCCCATGAATCCAAACTCCTGTAGGCAGCCATGCAGCCCACCCTGAACCCTGGGGGGATATATTCAGAAGAAAAGGGACCATGGTTTTACCACCCAATCACTTTGTTCCATCTCTAAATGAAATTCACTTTTCATGGGACATTCAAGCAGCTGAGCACCATTCCTGGCACTGACAGGAGAATGAAAGCAGTGCACTGACCCGGAGTCACCAGCTGAGTTCCCAGCACATGCACTACAAGCAACCTTAACAGTTATGGCCCCATTTCCCACCACATCATGTCCCCTCTCAGTGTATTTACCTTTAGGGGTGTGCTCCTCCAGGTCTGCCTGTCTCAGCAAAGCGTGGTGCATACAGGGGCCAGCACAAACATCCTGAAAGGCAACATGTGAGGAGTGTCAGAGATAACAAAGCACAGTTCTGGTGCAGCAAAAGGGTGGGTTATAGAGGTCCAGAGAGAAAGTGAGACTGTAGAACCAACTTTACCAGTGCTTTAAGGACAAAGCTGAAACTGCGAATAGTGGTGAGAAAAGGCTCAAAGAGGCAAAAATACCTGGAAACTTCAGCTAGCACAGAGAGGCAGAGGATTTGTCATCAGAGTGCAGCCTGATAGCAGCTCAAAATGTGGACTGGGGGCTGAAGAGGTAGGCAAGTCACCAAGGTTTTTCTTCTAAATATAACTTGCAGTCATAACCATATGCCTGCCCTGACACACTGGCAACCTAGATCCCAGCAACATGATGATGTTGACAGTGATAGCACTGGACATTGAGGAAGGCAGCACAGCTACGATCAGGAAGAGCTTTATGGCTTCACTTTTTGAAGGTCAAGGTCTTGCACAAAGGCCTCTAACTAAAATGAAGGGCTAGGACCTGAGGCAAAAGCTGTATTTCACCATACCAGATGTACTACAGGTCTTTTAATTTTAGAAGGACAATGGTAAAAAGAGAACTGCTCTTTGCACTTACCTTCAAGATGCTGGAGGCTTCTGGAGTGAGAACATCATCATAAAATGTCTTCTGTGTAAAGGCTGAGTATTTTTTTGACCCCTGGTTGCAGCAATCAGGAAGAAACAAACTCACCTCTGCACTGCAGTCCCAGCATGAAGCCTCCTTGCTGGCATTAGAAGGGCTGGGGCCCCTTCCCAGAGAATTCCTCAAATCCTTCTTTGCTTCATCCATCTTCTTAGGAGAAGGACACTGTGATGCAACCCCGGGCTTGCTAGAGTGGAAAGACATTGAGCCAGTTAAACACTATCTTTGAGGCTCCTCCACACCCTCCCACTGTGCGGAATGTCGTTGGCTTGCTAAGAAGATGAGGGGGTAACAAGGCAGGTTCAACCCCCTGCTTTGATACCAAGCACTGCCTTCCTGACCTGGGCTCAGAGGGCTGACTCCATGGCTCACTCACCCTGGCAAAGAGAGTGCTTTATTATTACAAATGGGTTTTGGAGGGGGGAAGCCAGCACTATACGCATGAAAAGCTGCTTTCCTGAAGCAGCAGGGGCTTCCCAGATCTGTGGCAGAATTCAAAAGGCTCTCAGGAGAATTTCAGTAAACTGGGACTACAACAGAAGTGCTTCTTTAGCTATACCCAAATCCCTTAAAAACCTTGTCACACTTGACTCCAGTAGGAGCAGGCTACAGCCTAGACACCAACACAGCTACTCCCAGGTGCAAAATCTGACTCATTTAAATAATTCAGGAGAGATGTTTAAGCATCGCCTAACAAATATTCAAATACAGCCAGAAGCTTCCCTCTTTCTCCTCCTGCAGGGGATATATTTGCTGGTGATCTCAGCTCACAAATAATTTCTCCTCTTCCACCTTGGGAGTCACATGCCCAGGCAAACATCACAGCTCCATGGCTGTATCTTATAAAAACCTTCACACGCTGAGGAATATTAAGAGCAGCCCTCAGACTTCTGGCACAGTAATAATGCAACCCTTGATTTTAGGCTTGTCTAAACACAGAGCTAACTACTGTCACTCATTAGTAGAGCTAAAGTGACATAAGCCCCTCCAACCTCTACAGACAAGCTGATGTAATGATGTACACATAACCATGTAGTTTATTCTGATAAATTAGGAGTCAAAGCTTCCCACGGTGTCTCTCCAGGCTACACTCAGTACAATATGGCTTATTTATCAAGTACTGCTCAGGGCAAGAACCAGACTCCTCATCCAGTCCTACCTGACTAATGGTTTGCATCCTGCATCCTTGCTAGGACCCCCACATCTGCCTTGCTTACTTCTGGAGGCCAAGCCCCTGCAACAGGCTGCAGAGTCCTACAGCTTGCCACAGCTTAGAAAGACCTTGCCTGGTCACACAGCTGGTGGCCTACACACCTGTCTGGAGTCTCATGGAGAAAACACCACAGCATCCCTTCCTGCCATGCCCTCTCTGCTCTGCCCTTGAATGGAGTGAAAACTCTGCCTGTCCTACACTCTTGATCAAAGAGGGCAATTTTTTTTTCTACATTTCACCTTGCTGTCTGTCTGTCTGCAAGAATGACTCGGGTACATACAGCACAGAAAGCACGACATGCATGCTGCAGATAAGAGGGAATAACTGTGCTGGTTTATTACTGCAGGTTCAAGCCAGTGCACAATTTTGAGAAGTTGAATCAAAACAGAAATCAGATAATAAATCAAGGTTACCATGATGCGAATCCTTCAAGTGAAATAGAGTAAACGAGCAGATTGGAGAGACCTGGGAGACAAGATCAATAATACCCCCTCCCCTCCTTCAAGCTAGAAAATCTCCAATCTTTTTCCTCTCAGCTTCTCTTTGGCACAGCAACTGGAACCTCATACCCTGAAGAATGAATTTTCCATGGAGAATTTTGTTTTTATTAGCTATTTTATGCTCTGGCCATATCTATTTTAGCAGCCCAGCAGGATTGATTGGTATCAGCCAAAATCCAAGGATTCCTGATGAATCACTGCTGGACTCTTTTGTGCCTGCCACACCAGCAAAGAGAACAGCAGCAAGGTGGAATGACCCTGCAGTGGCTCTCCTGATATGTCACCTGAGCATCCTTTTTCTGCAACAAGGGTTGGAGGTGGCAACATTACTTTGCTGTACTTTCACCTCTTAGGACCAGAATCCTAAACCCATAAACTTAAAAAAAACCCTAACTCCAGAATGCAAGGTTCATCTGCACCTTGGGTAGGGTGGGTGATTGAGCCCACTCCCAATTTAGCAGGACTGGCAATCTCTGCCTGGAACCAAAACAAGGTGGCTGCTGCCAACGATGTCACACTCTGGCCACCACACCATGTTCACAGCTTTCACTCCCTTCCCATTGGGAGCACTTTCCTGAGGGCTGGAGCTCCCCTTCAACAAGGAGAGATTCAAAGGTGGGGGAAAAAGGAGTTCAGCTCATCAAAAGCAGATAAGATGTCTTCCTGAAAGCAGATCCTCTACTCATCCCAAATAACCCTTTGCTCTCGGCTGCCCCTGTGCACCCAGGAGTATCTCCCTGCTCTCCAACAGCCAATGTCTGCCTGGCACGGAGCCATCCCAGCTTTATCTATAATAAGCTGTGAAAAAATCTTTTCACAACTGCTGAAATACCAGCCATGCACTCTCACACCTGAAAAGCACATTTCCTAGATATACCAGGTACATTGTACTATGCTAAATCGAACTGTTAAAAATGAGAGCATATTCTAATGGCATTGCTGACACAACATGAGCTACAGCATCTGTGTCATTGTGGCAAAACTACAATTACAATTTCTCAGTAAATCCAGGCTTTACATATCCAAGAAGTCAAACTTCCACGCATCTTGATCAATGTCTGCTACAAGCTTTTTGATCTGTTGCCTCTATTTCAATTCTTTGATCCAAAGCTCTGACAAAATGGACTCTTTTCTTTCAAATAAGGTTCAAAACAGAAAAAAAAAAAAGCCACAGAAAAAGAGAAAAGTACTTTAAAAATAATCTAACTCCTAAGCAAAATGGCAGATTGAAACCTAGTAGTCAGATATCTGAAATCTATTTATTTGTAGATTAGCCAGAACCCCAACTACTACACCACCCTTCCTGTAATTTTAGCCATATAATGTAGCTTAGACAAGGTGATGAGCTCTCAAGAAATGTCTTTAAGCATTATCCTCTACTTCAAATATCTCCTACTTTAAAAACTTGAGAGCAATCTTGAGTTTTATAGCAGCTCATTGTCTCCAACAATTTGCAAGGTTTTAAAATTGATTTTCCTCTAGGTTTTAAAATGCATTCCCTTCTCCATGGGAGAGCCCCACGCAGCCACCGCTGGAGCCTGAGGACGCAGGGGGGGAACAGCAGGAGGCAAACACTGTTCTCACTACAGCCAGAGCCTTCACAACAGGGTTACACCCCACGCTGCCAGGTTACAGCCACGGCGGGTGTCAGGAGACACCACACACGGCATCTAGACCGTGACTCCAAATGCATTTGTTTTGTTTATACAGCACAACAGCCTCCGTTGCCGCTGGGGTGGAGGAAAAGCAACCCAAGGGCGGTAACGGTGCTAATTGCAGAGCTGGGGCAGCGCGAAGCGCCCTGAGCTGGGGCGGGGGGATCACCCCCCTTCTGACGGCGTGAGGAAGCCAAACCTTCCTCAAAGATATTTCCAGGGTCTTGAAAAACACCAGAGGTCTCCTTATAACCCACACCTGCCCGTCTACCCGTCCGTTCATCCGTCTGTGCAACCGCCCATGAACCTCCCCGGCATTTCCACCCCCGCCATTCCAGCCCAGCGGGTTCTGCTCCCCCAGAGCTCCTCCTCACACCCCGAAGTCCCGGGCCGGGG